GAAATTTCAGTACACAGTATTCAAGAGCATTAGCAGAGTGCTAAAAATACATATTTTTAAAAATGTATAAACAGATTTTTTTAACTATATTACCTTAAGAGCAGGATGTAAAAATTGTTGAAAACCATATGTTAAACTAGGGTCATCTTTTTTCATCATCATATTTCTATAAGCTGAAACTAAAAATGATACATTTTCTTTATAGTCTGATTTATTTGAGTACTCAATTCCTCGACTACTAATAAACTCTGATAACTCAATACTATTTTTTAAATGTAAAACTAATTTTTCGATATCATTACAACAAGTTAAAAATGGTTCTTTAATAGAGTTTCTACCATAAACAGTTTTTAAATCTCTTAATATTGTATTGGCAGTTTGACGCGAAAACATTTCTATTGTCGCTGTTTCTAACTCAACATCTGGATTATCATATCCATCAATCATCCATGTAGTTAGATAAATCATACTTTCAATACTATAAATATTTACTAATGAATTTGCTACTATTTTTAATACAGAATCATAATGTCTTAATTTATCACCATGCCTTTCTTTTGTTAATATGTTATTAATAGTTTTTCGCAGTGCATTTTTTAATGATTTATTTAAGGAAGAACATGTATACAATTTTCCTTTATTTGTAATGTCTTTCATATTAACATTCTCTATGACGTTTTCAGCTACAACATTAAACTGTTTCAAATGTATATAATCTCCGTCAACTAGAGTTATGTCTTTTTCTACAATAAAAGCATTACTTCCATCAAAAATTAACATATAAACACTTTGATTTCTTTCAACAGAACCATTAAGTTCCCAAATCTCATTAGACTTCTTGATTGAATTTACATTGTCATGGTAAGAACAGGTGGCTGATGCAAATAATGGTAAATACACCGATTTCTGATTAGGTGTGCCAAATGTTTTAACAATGTCAACACATACTGTATGGTTAAATATATCTTTATAGATATTTGAATCAAAATATTCAAAAAGCCTAGTAATCTCTGTTTCACTGAGATTGAGACCTGAAGATGGGTACGGAACATTCATACCAAATAAACCTAGTTGTCCTATTGTATCAATTTTTGAACAATTGTTGTGGACTTGTTGCATCCTTGATTCCATGTCTTTGTAACGTTCCAAATTAAGTACCTCAGGATAAGTTAGTACCTCTAAATCATACTGTTTAGCATAAATTGTTTTCAAAAAAGGCAAACGTGCTGGCTTTCTTACTATGTCTGGTATGGGAGGAGGTTTTACTTTATCAATATTAAATGACTGACTAGAGGCATACCGAAGAAAACATGAACAGCACATCTTCAAAGATGACGGACCACAACGTCTCATAATATTTATCATGGTTTAAATATTGAATTAAGTTAAAAAATATACATATTAATAACAAATAATAGGAAGAAAATAATTTTAAAAGATTTAATAGTTGAATCAAAAATATTTAACATGCTATTATAAATTTATTTGCTTATCAGTTTTTATCCTTATCATATACATGATGGATTTCAAATTAAAATGAAAAAACCTGAACAATAATTAAATTACTTGTTATAACGAAATAGTTATAATTATAACAAATTTAATGTAACAAGTATATATTTTATTACAACCACATAGCCCAATTATTATACAAATAGTGAAAAATAATATATTCGAGACCACACCAATAAATAGCTGATAATCACATGATACACATTTTTAATTATGTTCAAATGTTAGCCTGTATTAAAATAGTTTAATATTTTTTTAAACTTAGGGCAATGGACTTTTCGTTATTATACCATTAATGGTTTTATAAATCTATTAAATGTTTCAATAAATTTTAATATTAATATTCTAGGCTAATCTAGATTTCAGATTTATATTGGTACAAACTGCCAATAATTTAACGAACCTATAAATTTAATATTAAATTTTAGTCAATCTATGACTTAACTAAATAGTTATTTGGTTTTTAACTTGTAGATTCTCATATAAGTACTATTGACATTTTCTACATAGCAAATGCCTGGTAAAATCATTAAAATATGTCAATATATTAAACAATTAAAAAAAAATGTTATAAAACATTATTATAATAATAACAAAAGTAACACAATTTGGAACTACAATTTGAAATGAAAAGATAGATCGCATAAAAACTAAAATTATTTTTCTAGTATTAAAATATAATTTTTAATTATTTTAATAAAAGTATAAAATAATATTTCAGAAATAAAAATAATTAAAAGTGTTGGAAACATTGATTTAGTATACTAAAGTTTTGAATAAATAGATTCATGAACAACCATATCCTTTTCAATATCAGCCAATGTCCTACAACCTATAAAAAAAATTAATTTTTTTAGAGTAACTAAACCTCTACAGTATTTTTGGTAATAATTATTAACTAGTCAAAGTAATTATTCGTTTTAATAGTTGAAAATCTTATTTTGAATTCTTTAGTTTTAAATAGATTATTTCATTATTAGATATACAATGTTTGAAATAAGTATTAATTGTAAAGTAATATTTTGTATTAAAATAAAAATTTTTTTGCTTAATCAAAAGAAATGACATGATTAAAGTTTTAATTTAAACTTACAAATAAACAGGTAACAAACCTTATTATTTTATGGGAAAAATATTACAAATGAGATTTAATTAAGTATTTTAATTAAATTTAATAAAATGTAAAAAACAGACATTTTTAAAAATCTAAATAAATTTAGTAGTTATTATTACTTATTACTAATAATAATTACTTATTAAACTATATTACTTAAATTATATTTATTAAATAAAAATAATACACAGAAAACATATAATATTTAATGAATTTATTTAAAATTTCTTAGAACAAACCTGTTAATGCCATTGTGTTATCAAATTCATTTATAATAATTTCCAATACATCTTCAACCCCTTTTTGACCGTCATATGTTAAGCCCCATAAAATAGGTTGGGCCAAAAATACCTGAAATTAATAAATATGTATATTCTAGTATACTAATATATATAAGGTGCAACAGATCTAACTGATAACAATCATAATGTTTGATCCAATATTCAATTTCTGTAATTTTTTAATAAATATAAAATACATATGGAGTACCTTACAATGTTGTTATTAATTATTTTTATATGAAAAGTGCTAAAAACTAACTATTTTTAAATTATAAAAATTTTTAATCATTTTTATTGAAACAAATAAATTATTTAATTTTAATGCAGTCTAATAATGAATAAAAAATGAATTATAATGAATTGTTAATTGTATTGAAAGAATTAACAGTTAGACATTATCCACTCAAAGTGCTGGATTTGGGGGAACCTGGACTTCCACAAAAGTTCCATACATACCAGCAAGCCATTTTTTTACCTTATAATTTAATACTAAAATCAATGAAATTTAATAAATTGTAAAATTTATTTTGTAATATACTAGATTATACATGAGTAATGATGATTATTTCAGCTAGTTTTTGTATGTTGTAAACATGTAATAACTTTGTACAATTTTTAATAAAACAGTTTATTTTACTTAAGTAAAATATAAATAAGTAAAATTTTACTTACCATTTTAGCTCCAAGAGCTAATGCTTTGAAAACATCAGTGCCATGTCTTATACCACAATCAAGGTAGACATCAATTCTATGCCCAACTTCTTTAACTATACTTGGTAAAGCTTCAATCTAATTAACAAAGTATAAATTTGAAATACTATAATTAAAAACACAATTTAATAATTTTTCAGCTAGATTTTTNTACTATAATTAAAAACACAATTTAATAATTTTTCAGCTAGATTTTTCTATTGCTATGCACATCAAATGTAGCAGTAACTTTATAGTATTTATAGTATATAATTCTTTATTTTATAATTTGAGATTAGAAAGTATTATGGGAATTGAAGTTTTTCCGTTCTTATAATTATATAATCAAAATATCAAAAATTTCGCTTGTACTAGAATTAAACTGCTTAGATAATTAAAAAAAAGTGAGTTATGGCCTTTTTTATCACACATA